CCCCCCGGCTGCGGTGTGCCGTAGTGAGGCGAGGGGTGGTTAAACCCCCGTCCTCCCATACATACGTTTTTTATTTTTTGTTCCTCTTCGTCTTGGGGCTTTCACATCACGGAACAGGAAAGCATCTGATGCGCCGGCTCACATGCCACTTCTGATCATACGTTGCCTCTTTGCACAGAGCAGGATCGTTGGGAAAGATGGAGATACAATAAGTTGCTAGTAGTGAAAAGTGCTGCGGAATTTCGGTGGTTTCTCCAGTGAAGTGACATATTTTTCCTCCAGTTAAGTTGAAAGCACTGCTTGGCGGAGACTGTCGTTGAGAGTGGGTTTGTGTTTTTCTTGCACCGTTAGGTTTTGCAAAGAGCGGCGATGAAGAGGAAACTGGCACTCTCCGAGATGCAGTTGGTTCTTCTCGTTTTATTGGTGTGGCTGCCAACAAGGTGAGAGGATATTTAGTTTTGTTGTTCAGTGCAAACACGTATGTTCCAATCTGTTAAGAATAAGCTTGTGTGAGAGCTTATAAAAGTATAGTATGTCGTAACGTAATGAAAAAATCTTTCTTAGCTGTTTGAATGCAGTATTACACAGTTTTCTGAGCAAATGCAGTAGAATGTAGTTTAGGGACCATAAAAGCCTAGTCTTTTGTCCTTAAACAGTTTGTGAATTCATGCTTTATTTCACCATTAAAACAGCAGTTTCTTTAAATGCCTTATTGGATCTTAAAGATTTATTGGAGTTACTGTATCACTGTTATTCTGTACCATACAGAACAGTCAAGATGGAGAAAGAGATTATCATGAAGTCACACGGCAAATCACGATCTCTAAAATAATGCTTAAATATTTTGTAATATGGGCATGTCTTTTTTTTTCTTGATTTTTTTTTTTTAGTCAAACATAACAGAATTCAAAATGATATTAAAGCTTTAGACCTCTAGGTGGAGATAGCATACAACTTCACAATCACATAAAATAAAACAATAACATAATTTATTAATCAACTTTTCTTATGTTAAAGTTCTCCATTTCTAAAGTGAGAGCATAAGAGGAAGTAATTTTAATCACATAGTACTTTTGTGTTGCTTGCAGTCCCTAAACTTGTAATTAATTCTAGTTTGTAACTTCAGTTTACTTGCTTTGGTTCTTTGGCTGCAGTAGGTCTTGCCCTAATATGGTAAGGGTTGTATGCCAAATAATGCAAGTTTTATATGATTTTAAAAGTCTGCAATTATTTTTGTTTGTTTCCCAGTGAACAAAATATTTCTTGAAACTACATTTTCTATCTCACTTTATACCTAACTATGGTGCAGTATTAGTTGAGTCACAGTGGGCCAGATCCTGCAAACCCTACTCAAGTGAGTAATCTTATTGACGTCAAAGAGACTACATGCGTAATTAAGGAGTTTATGCCTGAGTAAAGTTTGCAGGATTTGACCCTAATTTGATATAATTTTAAGATCTAATTTCTTAGTGGAGTCTCGGGTTCAAAAAACTCTTGTATCTTAAAGAGAGGCTTAAGAATGGCAGAGACTTATGGTACAGAAATACATTTCACAAACAAAAAAATGATCCATCCAATAATTAAAATTAAGAAAAAACTGACACATCAGTAAAATCACACATGACGTTTTGATGTGTTCTTTCAAAGTTATCTGATTTGGGTCGATTATGTGTTTTATGTGGTGGAAAGCACCAACTGCAATGATTTACATTTAAATACTTCCTCTATGCTGTTGAACTGGAGACCAAGATAAAGCCCTATCTTTAGTCATTTTATAGCTTGCTTTAGAGAAAGCATCACCCAAACCTACTTTTGGTTTGGAGGAGGAAGAAAATATGCTTGCTTTTATGGCATTCAGAATGCCTCGATCAGTAGTTCATTCAGAGATGATAAATACTCAAACATTTCAGGTTAAAAATTTAGATGGCTGGAAAAGGTATAAATGGTAATGCATGTAGCATATGATGCTTTACTCTCTTGATACCAATATACTGGTATTAAGTAGGTAAGACTAATGAGCTCATGCATTTCACATGCATGGTGCTTAAAATTGTTGGCACAGTAATAGTTGCATATGTGAGGCTTTCTGCATGTGAGGGTTTCCCTGACACCAAACCCCTTTGTTCTGGGTGCCCACGTCCCAGAGGACTGTTAAGCACCATAGCTGCCTGGGCAGCAGGTTCATGTTCCAGTCCCTAGTGTGTTCCACAGAGATTTGACCCATAAAGGCTGTAATGTCTCTTTCTTGATCGGGGAAGTTTGAAACAATCGATGATCTATAGATTCTTCTTTATTCTTTATTTATTATTTCTTTCTCTATCCAACTTTTATAAGGTTTGTCTGCATCTAGTGGAATATGAGATAATGCTTTTTATGACAAAATAACATTTTAAAAATATGAAGGCTATTCACAGCTATCCTGCAGCTTGCTAGTCAGCATTGTTGTTTCCACCCACCAACTGCTGGCGTCAGAGGACTCCCTGAGCATGATCACTGGAGTTTTCCCTCATGTTAGTTCTTCTGGTCATGTACATTACATGACCATTGGGTGGAAGCATATCCACAGAATTTACCGACAGATAGAGTATACCTAAGTGAGGACAGATAAGACAGAGCTGGAAGGAGATGGTCCTTAAGTGATGTGCCACTGAGGCCTGGGAAGCTCTTTTAGGCTTTTTCACCTACACAGCCAAATGTGTTATTGGAGCTTTGAAACAGCATTCACAGTGAGGCAACGATGACTAGAAGTAGAGACTACTGGAAAATGACTTCCTTGAAATTTTAAATAGTATGTCATTGACTCTTATATTTCTGAACTTGTTGTATATATACATGTAAATTGTATGCTCATATACTGTTAACTACACCCTTCCTGTTAGAGTGCAGCAAGTTAAAGGCCAGCCTGAAAAAAACGCATGTTGAGTGTATCTTAAAACATACCTAGCATTTTCTAAAATGTAAAATGTCCATTTAGATCAGTGCTGGCTGACTCCCTGGAAGATGAAGCTAAGAATAACATCACCATCTTTACAAGAATTCTAGACAGACTTCTGGATGGTTATGATAATCGCCTCAGACCTGGATTAGGAGGTAATAAAACCAATTAAAGATTGATTTCTTAAAAATCAATTTTAATGTTCAGATTTATGCAATGATATTCCTCCTTCAGGGTTTTTTTTTCCTAACAACTGGTACGTATCTTGATAAATTATTTATAACTACATTCACCCAGATGAATCATTTGAAGTTTGAGGAAGATAACATCTATGAATGGAAAGGAGGCACTTTCACACATTTATCTTAAGTAAAAAGAAAAAAAAATCTGGTGATTTAACAAAGTAAAACAGAATGAGAACAAAAATAACATCTAAAGCTGTTATTCCAGCCAGGGAATTTTGGTTGAACAAGGAATGCAGGCTTCATTTCCTGCAATGCGATGAATGTATGTTTTTAGAAATCTGCACAAATGTTTTGTGTGGTGTGTGTGAATTCTACACTGTAGATTCATTTATTGGCCCAGTAAATTCATTGGAAATGTATTTTAACTCCCTTGGAACTAGGGTTTCATTGGTAATATAAATTTTGTTTCTGGGCACCTTGCACTTATTTAGGCATTTGGAAAAAGAAATAAAGAAAAAAAGCGAATACTGGAAGACAGAGGTCACTGCACTCTAGTGCCATGATTGTCCACTATTTTTCAAAATGTCAGTTCATATTTTCATTTTAAAGCTCTATGCCAGCTTATGTCAGTATGTAGGCAAAAAATTTAAATAATTTGTGTGGTGTTGAAAACATTACTGTGCAAAAAGATCTCTGGCATGGGGAAGGGCTGAATATCTTAGTTTTGATAATATTTTATCTACTATTATTGTATATCTGCTGTTTATGCTAACATTAACATGTATGTATCAAATATAACACTGTTACTATTACTGTTATTATTTGTAAGAGTTTTGATAATTATAATTTTCAAGTGGAAACTGTTTCAGCTTGCTAAAACTAATTCTAGTGCAAAATCCCTGGGAGTCATTCCTATTCCTGTTGATTTCAGTAAGATCGGGCCCAAAGCTAGAGACGTGCTCTACCTTCCATGGAAATTACAGTAACAACTCAGTTTGATCAAATTAGGAATTAGTTAAAGCTCACAGTTTTTATCCAACACTATTCCATCTTAACCTGTGGCTCTGCTGCTCTTCTGGTCCTGGAGAATCATAGCTTGCATCTGACACAGCAGAAAGTGGGAGCTGGCGCTGGCTGGAAACAGCTTTCTCATTACACATTATTTTTAACCTAGGATATCTTTTCATGTCCATTTCTGGCCTCTCTATAATGGAGGCTTGTGAAATATTTTACATTTAAAGACTTTTTAATTTAGATCATACATAAAATGGGACTTATAGCACGGTTGATGTGAGAATTTATATAGTGATATTTTACATGGAATTTTGATTTCTTTGCAAAATACCCAAATTTAAGAATTTAGGCATTGTATACACATACCATGACTTGCAGAAACATTTCATATCACCAAGCTCGTGTTCAGTTGGCAGGTTCTTTATTAGAAAAATAATGAAAGGTTATTTTCTTGTTTACAACAGGCAATGTGCCCTTTAATCAGAGCAGTCTGCAGTTCCTTTGCATATCAAATATTCTTTTTAATATTAAAATTTAAATTGTTAAGAGCATGATATTAAAAAAATCAAATGGATTTTTCTTTTAGATTTTTCATTAAATCTACTTCAAAATACTTTCCTCTTTTCCTGCATGAAGCCTCCTAGGTAATTAAAACATACTTTGGGAGCACAAAAATTAAAGAATTTACATCTGTTTGATATTAGTATACACGACAATCAACCCATGCAGAACATGTGTGAAATGGAACTGTGTCATGCATATTAAACCGTGATGATTCATGACACATTAATCTTAATCTTCAAGAATACTTCAGTTGTGGATGGATGGATTCCTACAGTTTAAAAGAACACTTGTAAATGCCAGTTGTGATAGTCCGTGATATGAAGTATACCAGACAATGCTTTTGTACATAATGCATAGTAAATATGGACTTCTATATTTCAGAAATTTTGTAGCACTTTATCCCTTTTTCTCTATTGACTTATACTCTGAAAAGAGGTGTGGAAATAATTAATTTTTTTTTCGACGCTATGTGCCTTGTAAGCCCTGGCAGTTTCTAAAAGTGTTTTTGCATAGATTACTGCATTCTGACCATGATACACATCATTAATTTAATATACTTAGTCTAAGTTCTGTTCTTGCATTTTTACAAATCTGAAATAGCTCAGCTGAAACTAGTAGAATGTTTACTTTGGCATAGCTGTTTGCATAATCATGCTACTCTACTATGACTGAGATCACAATCTGGCCTGACATGTGCTACAACAGAAACAGTCCAGGGTCTGAGATGGATTCTTTTAAAGTCTTTTGAAAGCAAGAAATGTCCATCAACCCACTTTCACTTGCTGTGAAAGACATTTTCAGAGATGTCTTAGAGCAAAAATTCAGCTCATTCTTTTAGTAATGAAAAGTTTTAGCTTAACACTGTCAATTTAGCTAACCATTGACCCACCAAATGGAAACATATGGACTCCTTGAAAGACTGTATATAAATTCAACTGAGTAAATGTATGTTTGGGAATTAGTTCTTGAATTGAAGGATAGATTTGTAATTAATTTTACTGGGAGACTTGGTGTAAGTACTTACAGTATGTAACTTGATGCTTTACTGATACATTGCTACACTTCAAAACTGAGTACTATTTTCCATAGACGACTCAGCTTTAAGTTTTACTGGTGATATAAACAGGTCGTTTATATCTGTCGTATAAACAGGTTTTGACTGTTGGCTATTGGCTGTCCTAGCAACTGGGATCCTTGAATGATGTATGAACACTACAGCGATGAAATAACCTGCAAATCGGGTGCAGGCAGGGAGAAGAAGACATTGCACAATCCTCTGAAGCCAGAGACATCTCATATGACTTAGATAATACCCCAACCTACTGTGTTTGTATGGATATGCATATGTATTCAAGGGGAGATAATTCTTTCTCTGTACTCATTTTATGCTAAGCACAGGATTGCAGGTAGAACACTCTTGACTACACTTTTAGTTCTGACATGAACTGTTTTACCCAAACATTCCATGCCATTTCTGCTTAGGCATCAAAATAAATTACAAGTTTCGCTTCAAAACAAATTCCCTATGTCATTAGCACTAATTTGTATGAAGTTCAGCCTTGCAAATGACAAGTGAGAAAGAGTTTGATTGTTTACGATTTTCTACAAAATCATGAAAATATTTTTTTCTCTTTATTTGCTGTAATATTTGCAAGACATCTAGGGTAACACTTTTTCATAAATCCTTTGATTTTTATTGGGATGTAGAGAAGAAAATCCACATAACAAAATAATAAGCAAAAGATCAAAAAAGAATCTAGATCTTGAAATAATGAGAACAGAATTTTGAAGCTAAGATATAGCTTCATTCAAATCTGGAAGTGATGAATTATCTGCTGTGTCTGCTCTCCTCTGCCCCATCAAGAGACATGATCATATTGGATATTTCAGTATTCTGACCATTCCTCCATAAGCTAAACCTCCATTACTTTCTCACATTTGAAATTGGTAATTTCCAACAGCTATAGAACTTCTGTCTATTCTACTCTTCCAAATTTATAAAACATAATTGAATAAAAGGCTCAGAAAATGAAAAAAATATTGGAGGGGAAAAAAACAAGGGAGGTTACAAGGACAGAGGACTGGACTTCATAGCTTGAAATTTCAACAGCCATGTTCACATTGAGAAGAACTATAGAAATTTATACAATTTGAGGATCCTTCCACAAACTGTGATCAGTCTCACCAGCTTCAGGAGTGGCATTCTCATTGTAAACAAAGAGGTGAATGCTGCTTGTTAAAAAAAGAGGAAGATGAGACAGTAGGTGGGTGAAAACTAAGGGCCACTGTGGTTCCATTTTGACTGATCCATCTCTACTTTCAGATGTTCTGATTGCTTTAAACAATAATCTCTGTTGCATTTCACTTGCAAACAGACCAAACCCCTTTTTCCCCCAAAATTTTGTAAATAAATTTTACTGAATAAAACTGAGAGGAATTGTAGCTGACTATTGTTGTCAAAGAGATGGTGAGGCCTGAGCACTTGTGGGTATGATCTTTCATCTTTGGAGCACTGGATATATCGTTGCATGGAATCGGTGTAGTAGTGTAGAATATCAGACTCAGTGATTGAAAGTTTTATGGAGTGCTCACCAACATGAGCAAAAGGGAAAACCCATTTTTTCACGGAATACCCATCCTCCCCTGATCAGGAGAGCTATATACATATATATATATATCTGTATCTATCTGTGTTTATCAAATAGTTGTATGTTGTCAGTTGCCAGGACACAGGGCCATGATCATTTGCTGATAATCTGGAATATGTTAAATTTAGGGCAGTATATTTACACATTTCTGTGATTCAGAGTTTTTAATCAACTTCAAAAAAGTTTGTACTTGCACCAGTCCCCTAGCTGGGCATTCCAAACTTAGCTGTTTTTGTCAACCCCCAACATGCTTAATACAAATTCAGTGTACCGTAAAAGAAGATTCTTTGACTATTTCTGTTGCAGAACACTACTGGAAAGTTTTTACTAGTGTTTTTAAAGAAAAAAATTGCAGTTTCCCCCCTCAGTTCTGGTTGCTTCCTTAGCCTTTCTTGGCTCCAGTTTCATCTTTTGGAAATGGTAATGTCTCTCTGCCAGAGCAATTCAGAACAGCAGTTGCATTTTCTAAAATCCCACTATCTTTGCAGTTATGCTGGGACACAAAGAAGTAAGCTATTGTATGCTCTTTTTTTACCAGGAAGAGCCACATAGAATCTTCCCAAAATAGTGCTTTCAGAGGAGTCAGAGAGAAACTCAAGTTAATTTATATTAGTGTTGTGGATAATGTGTATTGGCAAAAAGCATTCCTTATAAAAAATGGAAAAGAAATAGAGAGGAGGATATGAAAATCTCATTAATTACTTATCCAGGGCATGCAGATGGTGCTAAAATCCAAGAACAGAA